AAACCTTTCAACGGTTTATCCTGATGCTTTCCAAAGGAACACTTCTGGTTCAGATAAATCTCTCCAAGATTTATTCTTATTCTTCCCAGTCAAACAACATGCAAGACTTCTGCTGGTTTCAGATAAATCGCTCCAAAGATTTATTCTGATTCTTTTCTAGTTGAAATCAAGTTCAGACTTAGTCCATTTTCTGTCAACAGTCATCTTTGGATGGCATATACAAGCCCATCTCCGGAAAATCTCCTCCATTCCTCCAAATGTCATCTATAAGCCCATTCATAATTCATCTTCGAGTGCAAATTTCTGGGCACTCTAGTGTTCAATCATCTTCCACCTTCAAGTCACGAATGGCAGATCCGTCAATCTAACTCTTCAGGTTTAAGAAGATTGAACAAGGGCATATGTTGTACCCCAAAATTTTCTCTCTCATTTATCAAGTATTTTCTCACAAGATCTCGTTTGGTTCAAGACTGCACAAGGGTTGATCAGCTCAAGACCCCTCCTTAAGCACTGATGACTGGAATTAGGGTTTGAGATTGCACAAGGATAATTGAACTTTTAATGCCTCATATTAATTTCATGTATCATCATGGACCCTCAATATTTCTCATGTCAAGTTTCAAGTCTTGGATCACATTTTTGCTCAGTCAATTGATTAGTTGACCTAAAAATCAACTATATTGGGGAAAAAGTCAATTGTGGCTAATTTAAAGTCAAACTTCATAATTTTTGATCAATTTCAACATTGTGAACTCATATATGTCATTTGATCAAGTTTGGACCATAATTCCTCAAGAAATTTGATCAGATCATCAAAAGGGCAAAATGATCAAAATTAGGGTTTTGACTAGGAAAGGGCAATTTCTGATTTTTGACCTAACAGATGGTTAATTGGTTTGAGACATGATCTCAAGGATTAAGTTGCATCATTTTGACCTAATGGTATGACTCAAAACATTGATCAAGGTCATTTTATTGATAGTTGATTTTCAGTCAACTAATCAAAAGTCAACTATACACTGAAAAGTCAAACTTTGACTTTTTGGTCAAAATCAAGTGTCAAAGATCACAATTCATCAAAACATGTCAAAATATGAAACTTGTTCATCAAGAAATAAAAAAGTCAAGATTTTATTTTGAAAAGTCAAAGTTTCCAAACTTAGAAAATTTTCTAAGTGTTGAAAACTTCATATTTTTTTCACGACTTTGAGCCAAATTTTCACCATGATGCAAGATGACTCAAAGGAAACTTTAAACATGAAAGTTGTAGATATCAATGAGATATAAAACATTTCTTTACACAACTTCTACTAGAAATGCATGAATTTCAAGTTATGATTTTGTGAATACATGTTCATGAAACTTGGAAACTTAGTGAAATTTTGCCCTAGTTTAGGCAGGATTTTGACCTAACTTTATGGCAATTTTTCACATAGTTCCAAGGGGAATTTTCAAAATTGATTCAAAGTGGGGTTGTACATCACATTACAAGCTTTCTAAAATATCCAAGAACTCCTAGAGATCATGTTTGATCAAGGAGAATCGAAGGCATGAAGTTGACATTTCATTATTGAATTATAGGTCATTTTCATGATGAACAAGAATTCAAATCCATGCTAGGCTGCACAATCTTTGCTTTGCAAGCCTCAAAATTGCTTGGCACTCCATAATTAATGTTTGGCACAATTGTTAGATGCTTTAATCCAAGCATTTAATACATTGCCCATGCTTAATACCATTTTAGGAAGAAAGTGCACATTGCCATTTTGGAAAAGTAGCTTTTGTGCATAAAATCAGTTCTTGAGCTTTGTAATTGTTTTCTTCTGATCACACACAACCTATAACCCAAAAGAAACTTGTTTAAAGCCTCTTAGAACTCAGGCCATGCTTGCACTATACCTTGAAATCATATTCCCACTTTTCTTCAAAATCAAGTAACATAGCCATAAGTCTATATCTTGCACTTCTGACTCTCTCAAGTGCTAGAACCTTTTCCTTACTTATGCACAAGTTGTTTGCATCAAAACACACGAATACACAAGTTCCAAAACTCACCAAAACTCAGAACTGCATCACAAACCACCATTGTTGCATATTCTGACCAAGAACTTCAAACTTCCATTTCACGCGTGCGTTTCTTGGCCTTTTGCTTCCAAAAGCTTCCAAGCATCATACATAAGCCATCCATATCCCTGTTACACGACTGTAACACCATCTTCATCCATTTCCAAGTTCAAAAATAGAGCATCCCAGTTGGACTTCTCCAGACCATTCCAGCCATCTTCAGCTCAAGCCAGCCATTGCATTAGCTTCCTAGAGGTCCAAGGAAGCTAACCTGATCATCACCATCACTTAAAACAAGCTTAAACTCATTTCATGATTTCCAGTATTGAGGTATTTTTCTTGAACTTCTATCTTATTATTTAGGCATTGTTAGGCTTGCATTTATGAAGATAGAATGTAAATATCATCGCCCTGAAACTATACATGTCCATAGATTTCATTTATGTTGCTTAAGCATGGAGAATTTTGAGTTTGAACTTGCTGAAACGTTTAAGTCAGAATCTGGTACTTTCATAAATTCATCCTTATCTTTGAATGTTAGTTTAAATTAGTTACATGGTTGGATTCGTGGTGAAAAAATACACAGTTTCATGTTTACATTTTTTAAAATGGTTGAAGAATGAGCAAGTTACAGATCCTTTGACTGGAGATTGAAGATGAAGTACAATCAGGGCAAGTTTTATGTTATGTATTTTTTTTTTGTCAATGTTAACGGACGTATAGTCACCCCAATGGTAAGGCAGCACGCTGGTAACCAAGAGGGTGTGGGTTCAACACCCAGCGCGCTACCTTTTTTCCATTTTTCACATTTTCATATTTTTTGTGTCACAAACACACACGCCTGAGCCTCAATGCAGTGAGCCTTGGTATTTTTACTGGCTTCTAACCCCTGGCCCTATTTCAGCACCCCCCTGATCATTCATTTCTTATTTTTTTATATATTTTTTTATAGCTTATTTCACTTTCTTTTATCATCTTTATTATTATTATTATTATTATTATTATTATTATTATTATTATTATTATTATTATTAATAATAATAAATAATTCAAAAATATTTATTTTTATTATTTTTACACTCATTTATATTTTATTTTTCATTATAAAAAACTAAAAAGAACAAAAACAATTTTCTTAATAAATTAATTTCTCTTTCTTGATAATATTTAGATAATTAGGTTTAATTATTATATTATGTTATTTTCTTGTAAATTAAAATTAATTTAGAACTTAGGTTTATTTTAATTAAATTTTCTATTATTTCCATTATTTAAAACCTTTTCATAAAAAAACTTAGAAAATCATTTTAACTTATTTTTCTTTGTTAATCAATTTAGGTTTTAATTTTAGTTAATTTCCATTAATTATTTTCTTAATTAGTTTAAGATCAAAACCTTCCATAAAATCAAATAAAAATCATTTCTTTTTTCATTTTGCATTCTTGCATTTTTTATCTTCATTTTTGTACAATATTCAATATGGTTGTAATAATTATTTAGATTTAATTTTCTTGCAATTTCCCCATTTATAAATTTGTACACCCCCTCCCCTATTGATGTAATAGCTTAATATTTTTTATTTTCCGCAATTTAATGCTTTATATATACAAATGCTAGTAATTAGGGTTTGTATGGAAAGATAAAACCAATGCTTAGAAAATCCTAATTCAAACACAAAACAATGCATGTAAATCAATACACTTGCACACTTACACTCTTAGGGTAAATCCATTTTGTTGTCTTATGAAAATGGCCATATTATGCATGTGGGATATCTTAGCAAAACAATCAAAAAATACAAGATCATAGTCTCTCGATGACGCTATCAAAGTTGCCTTTTAAAATTGATCTTAGTCCCTAAAGAAAATGCTAAGATATCTTAGAATATTGCTAATCATGGCTATACGATGATCCACGCCCGTCCCTTTACATCCAAATATATGGTTTCTTACCAAATCAATGGTAAGATAACAATGTCAAAGGAAAGAGGAAATAAACAATAAAGACTTTTGAGTAGGTATAATGTTCCTAGTTACTTGCTCATCTTCAAACCAAAATATCCTTGCTATTTTCAAAACAAATACCAACACTTTCAAAACACCTTTCAAACTTAAAACATTTTTCAAAAGATCAACACTTTGTATACATTCTTACGAACGAGAATCATTACAAAATTTACCTAAACGATGACTCCTTTTTAAAATACTTTCAAAAACCACACAAAGCACATTTTCAAACAAAAGCAAGTGATCTAGCAAGTAACTAAGAGCCCGTAGATAATCACGGATGAAAAGGGTGCTAATACCTTCCATTTTCATAATCTACCTCCCGAACTCAAGAAAACATCTCAATAGTCTTTCATGTTCTTTTCAACCTTTCCTTTTGGATAAAAGAAAAGTCAGTGACGACTCTTACTATCCGCAACATTTGCGATCAAACGCAAAATAACTAAGTCAATTCTCCCACCACATTACATATCTCGTGTCAATAAAAATCCACAAATGATGGGTAAAATCATCGTATCCATAAAAGGTTAACTCATATTTTTTATATCTTGACTAAGGTAATTGTATTATCATTTAGGTGATTAAAAGACGTAACATGAATGGGGAGGTACACATAGCGTAATTATATTGTTTGCTAACTATGATGAAAAAACTAAAAATTAGGAAATCTAAGAGAAAAATGATTAAGCCCCATTCGAATAATTTCTCCATCCTTGTGCAACCTCTGCCCAATGACAAAATAGAAGAAAAGGATGCAAAATAACATTATAATTAGTGAGGGACAAATAATTCTGGAAAAAAAACGGTAAAACCTTTCACCATATAACCTAGTTACTTTACAACCATTTTCATAGTTCCTTCCCCTTTCCGTGTCTGTGTTTTATACTTCTGATCATTGCTAACCCTTCATCAACGATTCTCGTAACAAGAATGTCGAATCGTTACGGTCAGGGTAGACAGGACAATCACAACAACAACAACAAGGGTTTCAACAAAACTCAGAAGAAATTTGTCCCTAAGAATCCCACTCCAACCCTTTCAACTTCCCTAAGAGAAAACCAACTAACTGGTTCCGGTAGTAGTGCCAATTCCTCGGGTAGGGTTCAACCGGGGGGTGTGAATGGCAATTTCGTGAATTATTTGCCACAAGATGAAGCTGTGGCTGCTGGTTTTCGTGCGGAGGATGGTGGATTGGATGCCCTTGAATCTCAGAGAGTTGTTGATCTTCTTAATTCAGAGTTGTCTCGTTTGCTCAAGCTCAAACCCAAGGAATTCTGGTCACAAGGTATAATCCATCGTCTTCATGTTTATTGTAATCGGTGTAGCTTTGATAGGGTTAAAGTTTACATTTTTAATGATTTACTAATATGATTGATTGACCTTGTATGGATTGAATTTTATTCAAACAATACTTGTTAAAATTTGTCATTGAAGTGTGGCATGTGTTAGTACATTGGAAGTTTTTGTTCATGTCGATTTTTGGTTTTTATTGATTTCTAACTGTGTTGTTGTTGTTGTTGTTATCTGTTTGGATTGTGTTTGCAGTGGCTGGTGATACCTCTCTGCATGAGTTTCTCAACAGCTTTCTGCAGTTTAGGAGCAGATGGTATGATCTCCCTCACCGCGGGACCAGAGGGATTGTTGCTGGTGTTATTTTTGGAGAGCATGATTTGAGCCGTCGTGTTTTCATGGTATTATATCGGATGTAAGTTTCTAATAAGTTGGAGTACTGTGATTTCAAGTTTCATCTCTCTTTTTCGTTTAATATTGTATGATTTTTAAATGGCGTGTTTTGCAGGTCTTCTAATAGAGATCCTGGTGCTCGACCTGCTGATATGCTAAGTTTGAGAGATCATGAAGGTGGGATCTCCCTCACCCTTTTCTAGTTTGTTTGTGGACAGTGAGATCATTTTAGCCGAGGATACCATGCATGATTTTTTACTCGATTCCTTTACATAGTTTTGCTGTAATTTGTTAGTAATTGCTTGCAAATACAGCTCATACTACGTTGCATGCACACGTGGGTTTCGTATCAATGCCCTAGCACAGACAGATTGCTACTTTAATTTTCCTTTTCTATTCCTGTTTTCAATATTTTTTGTCTTTATTTTGATTTTACCGGTATAACTGTCCTATTACTTACTTTCCTTATTTATGTTGTATCCTAATAATAATGCTATAGATTTTATTAATAATAGATAATTGACTTTGCCGAGAAAATACCATAAGCAATTCAATGAACAATTTGTTTTCATCGTGAGATGATATCGGAGTTGCAACCTATATCTGATTTGTCTTGTCACTATTCCACTGAAATGTTTTCCATAATTTGGATCTCTATTATAACATTGTCATTATCTTCTTGTTGGCCACGTACAAGTTCGCGCCACTCTTACTCTCTCTCTCTTTGTACAGTTTTTCGAATAACTACGAGATAGAATTTATGGTGTGGTGGATTTCTAATGGTGGGTTGAAAATCAGGGAAAAGAAATGAAGCACTGTGACCTGACCCATCAGCAGTGTCGTCAAATTTCCTGTGTTTATATGATGGATTTTTTGGCTGGCCGCCATAATCCGCCATCCGTCATTCATTACACTGCCCTTAAGAGAAAACCCTAAAAGATTTATGCAATCAAGCCGCATCCTCAATGCAGTGTTATCAAATAGCGGCGCCAAGGCCGCTATGCCGGATATACACCGCGGTTTTTGGGCTCGCCGCAATTGGTAAATATTGCCCAATATTGCTGGTTTTTCCGCCATAATCCGCTATAAAAACACCGCAAAGCAGCCGGTATGGCGGGATTTTGGCTCTCCGCCATCGACAACACTGCCTCAACATCAATTTCTCGTAAACAGCCTTTTTTTCTCTTCCTTTTTCAGTTGATTGTTCTCTTTTCTAGAAACCTCTTCTCTTTGCTATCTATGATGTCTACTTTCTGTTGTCTCCTTATATTTGTTCTCTTGTTTGTTTGTGTAACTATATTTCATCCCGTTTCATAGCTCGATTTTTTTCCCACCTAATCCATTTAAGTTATTAAGAGACTTTTTATATTAAACTTTCCACCACCAGTTCGTTTACATTACTATGAGATTTATGGTATTAATTGATTTCTATCAATCTAGTTATTGTATTTGTGTGCATTTTTATTATGGCTGCCATACTTTTGCCTTTGGCTGCAATGCTATCAGCTGTACTTTTTATACTTCATAGTGGATATTTGGCCTGTGGCATGAATTGTCATCCGCCATTGTTAACACTGGTCACATGCAAAGGGGGTAATTGATTCTTAAGAATGAGTTCCAGCATGTTGCTTATTTGACTACTATTTCTGAGTTTGAAATATAATATAAAACATCACATATTTACTAGTGTATTTTTTGGTAAAATTATTTCTATTTACTTTTGGGCAATTGCCACATATTTTGTATTCAGTGTGTTGTGCTGTTGTTCACAAATATTGCATGTAGTTCTTTTGCAGGAGAAGAAGTTGCTTGATTTGCCAAAGTTGTTTGATATATGTGCCATATACAATCATGAAAATGAAGAATTGACAAAATTGCTGGTGAGAATTCTTTACTAGTGTGGAAAATTATTAAGTTAGCATCTCTTAAATGCAGAGTACATCAAGAAACACCTTTATTTTGCTTTTGTCATCATTAGTTTCAATAAACATAGCTTGGAAGAAGAATTGTTTAGGACGTAAAGGTTTTTCCTTTGAACAATTTCCAATACTCTGAGTAGACAACACCTATTCTGAGTTCTGTACTTGTTGTTATTGTTACACCAATGTGATATGTTTTTATTGGGAGTGTGTTTCTGTGATACTTTTTTTTGGCTTTATATGTATATAAAAATTGGATGAAGTTCGTTATGATCTTTTAACCCTGGGAAGCCTCCTCAGTCACTGTGAAACAGAATATATGAAATTTGGTTTTCTTTCCTTTTCCCAAACTGCACTCTATATGCATATAAAAATTGGATGAAGTTCATTATGATCTTTTAATCCTAGGAAGCCTCCTCAGTCATTGTGAAATGGAATATATGATATTTGGTTTTCTCTCTGTTTCCCAAACTGCGCCGCTACTTTATTTTGTTGATTTCTCTGTTTAATTTTAATTTTGTTTTGGTTCACTTGAACAAAACATTCTTAAAAAGACCCCGTTACTATATTAATGAGAAAATGTGTAGACAAATTTTCCAATTTTCTGACACCACATGTATTCTGTGCACATTTTATATTCATAGAGCTATCTCAATCCAAGTGATTTCTCTATGCACACTTTGTTGTGATAAAGGAAGAACACTCTTCCTCTAATATAACCCACCTTACTTGTCTTATTTACTTTCACTTTTTCAGGTCAGAAAAGCATTGCATGCTCAGCCTTGGATGCATGATAATTTGACTGCAGTAACATTTCATTTTATGAGCATTGCAAGCACAATGCACGAACGGTGCAGTTCATCATTGGAGGTATTCCAGTAATTGCCAAAGTGTAAATGTGATATATCAATAATTGTCTAATCATTTTTTTCAGAGTTTTTATACTGTCTTTTGGTAAATAAGCAATTTTATTTTGAAAATATTAGTTGTGTTGATTCTTGTTATCACAAGTATTTATTGCATTATGAATCATATTATTTGAAAAAAATTATGTTCAATTTTGGTGTTCAACAAACGGCTTTGGTCCATAAGACTTGTGTATAATTACTTGATGGGCATCTTAGCAGTATTCCAATACTTTTCATTTGTTTGGGATTGTTCTAATATGCCAAGCAGAATAATAAAATAGAAATGGCTTTTGCACATTTTTATGTTTGTGCCATGTCCATACATTGTTTGACATGTTAAAAATAAATTAATGCATGAAGTATTTCAGAAAACTATTTATAATTGGCTGAATATTGTTAGAAAGTTTATGTACCTAGTTAAATTATAGTATAAAGGAATAATTTATTTGGCATTTTGATAAATTTCTTTTTGGGATTATGTACAGGTCTTATTTGCTTCTGGAAGTCTTGATGACCATAATGCTACTTTTCTTCAAACCGATCTTCTGGAGGTGATTTGTTTTGTTTTTTTACCTCTTTGAAAGCGAGTTGTTCAACCTTCTCTGGGTGATAAACCTGATATTAGAGGCTTCAAATTATGTATTTATAAGTTTGTGATTTTCTACCTCTAGAGGAAGTGATAAACCAAATATGAGAAGCTTCTAATTCCTCCATGAATTTGTGCAGCATACTAGTGCTGTACACTAGAGAATAATTCATCTATTCTGAAGCATTTATGTGAAAATTTATCTAGATTGTAAAATGATCACCCATTCATTTCCAAACAGGTACTCCCAATATTCCGGTTGAGTACCAGTCTTAGCCTTCGTCTAAACATTACCTAAGTGTGGATTTACTACTACTCCATTGAAGCTCAGAAACTGCCACAGAAATAATAGGGTTAAGCCTAAGAATAGCCGCAAATACTTGGCGTTTACAGCTGATCAGTTGATGTGTAATATTTATGTGCTCACATATACACACATCCTTATTTCCACACTATCAGATTTTTCAAAGACAACAACTACTGCACATTACTTCAAAGCTATTTTATTTTTGAAGTAGGATTTTGCTACGGCAAAGGTTACATGTTTTGAATACTTCAAGGCTATTTAAAACACACAGCATTTAGTTTATTCACAATTTCACATTGCGAATTGTTGTGCCTTAATTTATGTAGTTCTTTGACATATGCAGCATAATGTTGATGTCATCTATTTTTGTGATAGGTGATGGACTTTATAAATGATGCAATTGTATCAATGGATGCATTTGTTTGTGCCTACGAACCAGCAGCTTTATTCTTCTCTTCCCCTGTTGAGATGAGGTATCTCTTACCATTGAAATTTGGTTTTTTATGATCAATAAAGACAAAGGCAGTAAATCTCTACAAAAGTATGACTTACCCGACAAAATATTGGCCTTTCGTATGTTAACATGTTTATGTTGCTCTATTTATCAATGTAGAATGTAAGATTAAGACTGACAAGTAAAACTTATCTAACAATTTAATCTTTTTCTAATCTATATTACTGTAGTTACGGGAATGAGGATCTGCTGGGCTTCCTTGCCAGATTGCATGATTTGCTAATTCCATCCATGCAAAAGGGGTTCCATATCATTTTCGCGGACAAACAAGATGACACCGTCTCTAATATTGTGGTTAGTTTGAAGATGTTAAGAATGAGGTTGGCGAAGTTTGGGTGGCAACTATTGCACTTTTGCTATTTGAGTGACGATGTTTTCCTAGATAGCATTCCTCTTCCAGCTGCCACGAAGATGTTTCCTGCCAATGTGGAAGACCCGGTCATCAGAGCAGATATTCTGGTTCAGACATTTAGAGACATCAATTCGGTATCATTAAGTTTCCAGGAAATCTATCGGAAGGACACATTTCTTCAAGATGTCGAAAGGAATTTCAATATATTAAGCAGGATTGAGGGATTAAAGCATAATGGTAACTATCTTATTTGTAAATTAGCACATATCACTTTTGCACATGTTTGTAGGAATTGTACATACATTGCTATGCTTATTATGATTATTAGCAAAAAAAAACTTGATCTAGTGAAGTTCCTTAGAGGGAATCAGGTCTCTCTGACCACTCAAAACTAATATTTTATTTGTTGCATATCTACAGTGTAGCATGTTAGTTTTCTAATCTAGTTGCTCTGATTCAGGATGGATAATTTTTGACGATGAACAACTAAAATATATATCTGGGATTTTGAGTTCTCCGAAGGAGATTAATAAGGAATCATACTCTGCAAAGATTGCTGTGCCGAACCAAACAGTGCAGATGGATGAAGAGGCTGTGGTTCTAGAGTCAAAAATCAGTCAAATCAGGGACCTGTTCCCTGATTATGGTAAAGGGTTTTTATCTGCATGTCTCGAGGTCTACGACCAGAATCCAGAAGAGGTTATTCAAAGAATTTTAGAAGGAACCCTTCATAATGATCTGATGTGCTTAGATACTTCATTAGAGATGGTGCCACAGTCACAAGCCAAGTCCACCACTGTTAGCGGGAAAGATAAAGGAAAAGGTATACTAATTGATTCAACGTCAGTGTCCTCAAATACAAAAGTTTATAGTGGGAAGAACCAGACACAAGGGCCACTGATGCCATCATCTGCTCCAGTTGGAAAATTTGTGAGGAAATCTAGAGCCGACACGCCTGATCCAAGTATTTTGGACAATAACGATGAGAAAGATGCATCGAGAATTTTACAATATGAATACGATGATGAGTATGACGACTCTTTTGATGACTTGGGTCTAAGCGTAGCGGACTCTGGAGTAGAAGAAAATGAAATACTTGGCGACGATGAAATAAACGAAAAATCGGGTAGACCGAGGGCAATAGGGTCTGGAAACTCAATCCAAAATGCCTCTAATACAAAATGGGGGTCCAGGAAAGCGCCACAGTACTATGTCAAGGATGGTAAGAATTACAGCTACAAAGTGGCAGGTTCAGTAGCAGTTGCAAATTCTAATGAAGCTTCTTTAGTTAATGAAGCTCAAAAGGAAATGATACATGGTCTTGGACGTGGCGGAAACCTTCCTCTTGGTGCGGTACAGAAGTTGGCAGATTCTTACAAGGGAGGTGGTAACCAGTTCCATGTTTCTGAAACAGAAGGGAGAGGGAATAGCAGTGGCAGGGGAAAGAGAGAAGGAGGAAAACAAATTGAACATAATCAACAGCAGGGAAAACAATCTGATGTTTCTGAAGCAGAAGGGAGAGATCAGGGTCCAAATAACAGGGGGAGAGGGAGAGGGAGAGGGAGGGGAGGAGGTAGAAACAACCATTACAGGAAGGACCAAGCCATGAAGAAGCATTTCTCTGGATTGAGTGGTTTTTGAATTTTGATTATAGACCCACCAACATACCGTAACTCTGGCTACTGTCAAAGTCTACATGTTATAACATATTGAATGTTGTGTTAAAGATCAATCAGATGTATACATTGTGCATTGCTGTTCTGCTCAGAGTTTTCTCCTCCTTGGGAAAGCATGGCTCATGCAGCTGAGACTTTTATGTTGTTCTGTTTTGGGTTTTCTTCTCTCTTTTAGTCCTCGTTGATTGGGGACTTCCGTAAATTAGAGCATTACATTGTGAGCATTGTTGAATTCGCAATCAGCTATTGCCATACCGACATTATCTTATACAAAATAGTTTAATGTCCTGTAAAGGTTACTTCATACCGGAATTCAGTTTTGGTTAAGAGATTTTGAATGTATTTTAGCCTACATTTCCTTTTAACTGGGGTCTATGAATAATTTAGTTATATAATAAGTAATTTTATTATGTAGCAGCCTTAACTGATGGCAGTGTTAGCCAGAGAAGGCAAAAGGGTGCGATGCATTTCAGTCTTCTTCAGTGTCAACTGTGAAAAGAAGAGAGACAACGTATGAACTTTAATGTTATTTGAACATTAAACATTATTTATGAAAATGAAAACTGGTTGGTCGGGTTCAATTATGTGCTAACCTGGTGTGTCGAATTGGGCATTGGTTGACTGAACTCATTTTGACTGTTGAATGTCTGATAGCAATTCAAGTTTCATTTTTTGTATTCATTGGAGATCCTCAGATGGTTACATTTTTAAGATTTTCTTTGATAATACAAAACTAGAAATTAAAAATGGTTTTAAGATTAGATTTTGTTAGCTGTTTGATCAACTACAGAAATGTGATGAACAAGTAGTTCATTTTTTTGAATCTTTTCTTTGATGATACAAAGTCTAGAGTTGGGTTAGAGACAAGCTTGACCACATTGGAGTTCTCACAATAGATGAGAGACATTGTTGTAGTATTAATGAGAAGCTCAGGGTTTGAGCCAAACAAGTTTATGAAGTTGTTACGGCTCAATGCTTCTGCATTCAACTTTAGTGCTGGATCTAGAGAAACAGATAATTTCTTGTGGAACTCATATCATCAATGCCGGATCCCCAATCAACCTCACAGAGCAAATTGAATTGTTTTTATAAGTAAACACAATATTGCTTGTGTACCATATGAACTGTATTTGATCCTAAAGACCCATTTGCAATAAAAATTGTTATTGTTAAAGCGGGGAGATAAGAGCCAATGTTTTGTTTTGAGGGAGTGCTGCATGTTTTCAATGAGGCGAAGTAAGTGCAGTTTTGATGGATTTTGGTTTGGTGGTGTGATTTCTTGTTGCTTAAGTTAGGTGATTTGGTTTGAAAATAACATATTTCCAATGTTGTGTGGAGAGATGTTGTTAGAATTTGTTGTTTTGATGATTCATCAATTGTTGATTTGCTGAAGAAGATTTAGTAGTTTGTTGGCTTGCCGATGCAGTAACCAGAAGTTATTGATTTGTTGGTGTAGATGGAAAATTGGAAGTAACATTGGTTGGTCAAACAAATTCAGTGACAATGTTGATGGGAGGTGGGTCAACAGGTTGGGTGATTGTACTTGAGATTTCAACAGGGTCATTTGATGATTCATTGTCTTGCAAGAAAGAAATTTTATTATTAGTTAAAAGAGGAGAACATCTATTTTTACAAGGAACAATCTGTACATTTGGGACATAGTCATGAAAAGTTGAGTGAGAATCATATGAGGCAGAATCATGACTATGTAACTTACATTTTTCTTTGAAAGAAAATGAATTCATTCAAGTTAACATGTTTCGAAATGTATATATATTTTTTAATGTATGGAGCAAAACAAATGTAACTGTGATTATTGTTATATCCTAGAAATATGCATGGTTCAGACCTAAAACCCAATTTGTGTTTGTTATAGGGTTTTTCATTAATTTGTTTTTGTGAAATAATTTGATTTTTTGATACGTATTAAGTATAGTAATTTTTAAGAATTTTTTTATCGTATTTTTTTTTCTTGGAAACAAGACTTATATCAAATTAAAAAATAAAAACAATACACGATCCAACCAAGCAAAAAAATCAATATAACAAGAAAACCAAAAATAAAAACTAAAAAAATATTAATCTAATGATTCTATCTTTCCGTTTTTTACAATGTCAATTCTTAAAAACAATTTTGTCTATAATTTCCTTTAAAACACGATCACTATTAATCTTAGAACCAAAACAAACACTATTTGGAAAGCTCCAAATGTCATATATCATCTTAGTAATTACAAATTTCAGCAGAAAAAATTTCCATCATTTACCTTTATCATACTTAAAGATCCGGACCAACTCTGCATCCTACCATTAAGGAAAATACTGAAATTGAATCCAAATACCACACCAAATCTTTTTTAAGTTATCACAATAAAAGAAAAATTAATTAATAATCTCCTCCTTATTACCAAAGACACAAATATTATTATTGTTGGTTTTGGATTTTGAAATATTTGCCATCGAAGAAATTACCAGGTTGAGTTGCGGACTAGGTCGTTCTCTTTAAGACGTTTCGCGACACTGCTCAAAATTATGCAAAGCAGTCGAACTACCGCGCCGCCTCCAGGATAAAACAACTCAGTTCTATACTGTACGATTACTACTTGCATGATAGATAATCAGTTTAGAAATACACCCTCTGATGCTACAAGACCATTCAAATATGGTATCAACACCACTCGTAATATCTGGTACAAAGACCAGTCATAATAATTTCTCAAACAAAAAGAAACTCAAATAATTCTCCAAAGAGAATATAATAATGGTCATTTGACCACTCATAATAATTTCTCAAACAAAAAGAAACTCAAATAATTCTCCAAAGAGAATATAATAATGGTCATTTGACCACTCATAATAATTTCTCTAACAAAGAGAAATTCAAATAATTCTCCAAAGAGAATTCAAAATAATGGTCATTTGACCACTCATAATAATTTCTCTAACAAAGAGAAATTCAAATAATTCTCCAAAGAGAATTCAAAAGATTAAACTTGAAAATTTTTCAACTCAAATGAGGAGAAATTAACATAATTCTCTAAAGAGAATTCAAGAAAATACTCGGAAAATTCAACGAGTAGGAAGAAAGGGGAAGAAGATGGCGCTTTGACAATTCGAGAGACGCGGAGTTATGAGAGTGAGGAAGGAAAAACTAATAGAATAGTTTTTGGTGTGATTTGGAATGAAACATATGCACTCCTTATATAGTGAAGTAGGATAGTTAATATTTCTCACATGAGTAATGTGGGACTAAATGGTTTTTTCAACCAAAATTTTTTTTTTTAACAAAGTGGGACTTGAGAAATTTTTAAATTCAACATATTGAAACATGGACATGTTCCAACAATCCCCCACTTGAATTTAAAAAATTGATTTTAGAAGTAACGTCAAACGTTTCTAAGATTGTGAATAAACAAAGGTGTCTACGACTTGAACCTTTGCATAGCAAGTAGGATTCCAATTCAACAAGAGTAACACAAATGTCTTGAATTCTATCTCAGACATCAAACTCGCACACAAACTTTTCTTAAGGTGTATTCTAATAGTCTGTGCTTTAATGGCTCTGCACGTATATCCCAGTTTAATGAAGGCTCTAGGAATTCTGTCTCGAAATTCCATAGGAACCGGCCTAAGTTCCACAATCACATAGGTGAGTCTATCAAGAGTACTCCTGTAGTCTAGGTACTCCCTCATACAGAGTATAAATCTTATTAAGAGTTTCTATTATCTCATTCTCTTATTACTTCAGGATTCATGCTTTACTTGCATGATCATCTCATATTACTCACAACTTATTATTACCCATTGAACCTATTTCTTGGGATCTCCAGTCATTTAGGTCAGGTTACCATCATGAGCAACTCATTTTTCTATAGGCATTAGTCTCATCTTATATGATATATTATAGACTTTCTCTCTAGCTAATCTTTTCGTCAAAGGATCTGCTAAATTTTCATCGGTACGTACATGATCCACTCTTATAGCTCCTTTAGAGATACAATCTCTAACAATGATGTGCTTTCTTCTTATTTGACGTCTTTTACCATTATAATAACGGCTCTCAATTTTTGCAATAGCCGCGGTACTATCGCAGTGGATCAACACAACTGACATATGTTTTTCCCATAAGGGAAACTCAGTTAGCAAGCATCTTAACCAACTTGCTTCTTCACTAGCAGTCGCTAATGCTATATTCTCAGGATAGTATGTTTCTTTGATTTTCAAGATACAACTCCTCTAGCTATATTGAATACATAGCCACTAGTTTCTTTGGAATCAACCGATAAGGTATTCCAATATGCATCATTGTATCCTTCAGATACAATAGGAAATCTCTGATAATGTAAACTGAGATTCATGGTCCTTTTAAGGTACCGTATGACTCGCTCAATAGCTTGCTAATGTTCATTACTCGGTCTACTAGTAAATCCGCACAACAATCCCACGACATATGCAATGTCAGGTTTAGTACAATCAATGGAATACCTAAGACTTCCAATGATGCTCGCATGTTCTGTTTGTCTAACACTTTCACCAGCGTTCTTAAACAACTTCACGCTTGGATCATTTGGTGTGCTCACAAGTTTACTGTCAAAGTAATTATATTTCTTTAAGATCTTTTTCACATATTGTGATTTATCCAAAGAAATTCCTTGCTTGGATTTTGTGATCTTGATACTAAGAATCACACTCACTTCTCCGAGGTCTTTCATATCAAAGTTGTTGCACAACAATGATTTCATATCATTAATGACCTGAATGTTTGATCCAAATATGGATAGATCGTCTACATATAGACATATAATAGTGCAAATACAATTCTCAAATTTGTAATAAACGTATTTGTCACTTTCATTCACTTTGTACACACACATTCGATATCATTAAGTTATCAAACTTTACATGCCATTGCTTTGGAGCTTGTTTTAGCCCACACAAAGACTTATATACTTACGTACCTTGTTT